TCGCGAACTCGCTGTCGCCCGAGGTGCACTACGTCACAAGCCCGGTCGTCGCGCAGCTGCTCGCCGCGTCTACGTCGGAGGCGCTCACGGTGAAGTGTCTTTTCGCGCTGGCGAGCGCGACCGCGCTCTCTGCATTCTGCGTGAAGAAGTTCGTCGCGCTGCTCGACTCTGCAGCGCAGTCTCCGCACAAGTCAGTAGTCGACGCTGTGCTGCTCGTAGTCAACAGGCTCTCCAGTTGCCAAGTGTGCGTGCGCGAACTGTTGGTCCTGCTGCCACGCCTCTCGCATTACCTTTCTGACCCGACTCAGTTTTTGCGCACCGTGTTCTGCCAAGTGCTCGGTCGCTTCGCGAAGCTCGAGCCGCGAGTTGGTATCAAGTTCGAGCATAGCTTGCTCAAATTAACCGAGCTGCCGCTTTGCAGCGTGCGAATCGCCGCGGCGGAAGCGCTCGCCGTACAGACGCCGCCTATTGAAAGCACGCTCGACGCAGTCTGCGCAGTCGTGAGCGATTGCGTTCGCAACACGGACCCGAATTTCAAAATCGCCGCCGTCGCGTCCGTCGTATTTTTGGTCAATTCGGATTACGCGCAACTCAGTCCCGAACTGCTCACAACGGTGAAACAGTGGCTTGCGGCGCTCGCAACAGACCCGTCGGTCGCGGTCACGTGCAACGTGTACTCAATCTTCAACGCGCTGGTCAAAGCCGGACAAGACGTTTCGCCGATGCTCGATCTCCCCTTCGACGCAGTAACCGCGTTAAGTCTGGCCAAGTTGCTCTCCGATGCGCGCGTGGACGCCGCGCATATCAACCGCTTGCTGGGTTCGTTGGCGGCCGCCAAGCTGTCCAGCGGTTGCGAAGCGCTACTTCAAACCGCGCATGCGGTCTACAGTAGCTATGGCAAGAGCGACGCGGCGCTCGAGCACACGCTCAAGCTGCTCGTCCGCGCCGTCGCTGAATCCGTCGACGAGTTAGACAACGATGCGTTTGTAATGCTCGCTTCTTTATGCATCGAGCTTGACTGCGAGCACTTGATGCTAGCTCGTCTGCGAACGTGCGATTGCGCGGCGTTGGGAAGTTTGCTGCTCTGGAGACGACTCAAGATTGAGCATGATTTTCCGTCTGCCTGCGACAAATGCATGTTGCGCCGCGTAGCGAGCAGGCAAAGCCCAGAGCCGCCGGCGTTCGATGTAGTGGACGTGGTTAAGCTCTTAAGCGAGTTGTAGCACAAATCAGTTTTTCCAGTAGCCCGCTAGCGTTTTCTTCAGCACCTTCAGCTGGCCAGGTCTTTTTTTCTTCGATTCTGCAGGCGCTGCGCTATGCACAGTAGCGTCCGCGCTCTCCAAGCCTTGCGTTGAGTCTTTGCACTGCGCTGCTTCTTCTAGGCTGACGCGGTTAAGAAAGACAGGCGCGGGAATCTTGCGGACGCCCAGCTGTCCCTCTAAGTGGTGTGCAGGCAGCTGCGAAGCGGGAGGCAGTGCACGGGCGCAGGACTCTTGCAAATCCGCAAGCGCTGCTGCTTTGAACTCAGCAACCAAAGTCGTAGCGTCCGCGTTCGCGCGAAGCCGCGTTGCAGCGGCTTCGAAGGCGGAGGCAGTGACGACCTGAGACGCAGAGTCGTTAGCGTTGTAGTTCGCCGCAGCGCGTGCAGAACTATTTGCCGATTCGATTGGTGAGTCAGCGAGAGAGTGTGCGGGCGTGAAAGCAAGCGAGGGTGCTGAGGAGTGCGCTGAAGAGCACGTCAGCGCGGCAGTGCAGCCGCAGTTTTTCGAAACCCGCGCCGAGGCTCGAGGACTTACTGCTTGTGAAGCGTTCCTCACGACCGCTGCGGCTTGCTCAGAGTTCTGGTTCGACGCGCTTGCGCCGACACGGAGCGGGAGATCGCATGAGTTCAAGTGCACGCGCAGTTGCTCGCGTGGCTGAGAGCGCATTAGCGTGAATTTGAGTGTGCCCGAAGTTGCGGACTTGTCAACGGCAGATAGCGGTGGGAGCGGCGCAGACAGTTGCGACGTCGCCTGTGCAGCCGCTAATGGCGAGTCGGACAGCGCGGAAAGCTTTCCGCTGAATCTTCGGCGTGAGTTCGACGCGGACCGCACGTCTTTGACAGCACTGATTCGCGGAAACTCGAGACACGCGCCGTCTTGCCGCACACATCCGAGGTTGAATCCGGGAAGCGCCTCGAGCAGAAAGATTTCGTCCTCAGCTGTAACCTGGACGCACAGGCTTTCGACTGAGTTCGCCGCCACTACGAAAACAGCGACGCACGAGCCGCAAAACTCAAATAGACGTGTCGCTATCAGGCGCAGCGCAGCGCGCGGCTGAAAACGGTCGAGCAGTGCAATGTGGAGTTTGTAGAGCGAAGCGCGCGTCCGCAGAGGCGAGTCGAGCGGCAGCAAGCGCTGCTCGGGAAACACTGTGAAGTGCTTGCCGTCATACACGGTGCAGGTGTCGAACAGCGAAATGACGGAACCGACCGGCAGTTCGAAGTCGCGTTCTGTTGCGATGCGCCCGAGCACGGATGAGACGCACTTGCAAAGCAGTGCTTTTGCTGCGCAAACGCAGCCGCACTGTGTGTCGTCTAGCGTCGAGCAGTCGACGTCCGGGAAAAAAAGTGACAACGTCTCGACTCGATTTCGTAGCTTGACTAGTAAACCTTCTCGGTCTAGTTCGACTGATCTGACGCCATATAGCATGAGAAAAATATTATTTACGTGGTCACTAGAGAGTTTTGCCCTTCGCGTCGCAGTACGCGTCCTTCCAAACGTTGTTTCCGGACTCGCACTTTACGACTTTGCCTTTCTCTGCGTCGGCGGGTTCGAGAGCTTCTGTGAGATACAACCTGAGCTGCTCCTCGTCGCATCTGCAACTAAACGGGTACTCCATGTAGGGGTTGTCCAAGTACAAGAAATAGCTTCCGACGCCTTGTGCGTACGTCTCTATTTGGTGCAACGAGTTCTTGACAGAATCGGTGTCAAGCGTCTGTAACCCTGCGTGAAAAGGCATGGGCGGTGCGAAGAAGTTCAGTGCGTTGAGCAAGTTCATTTTCCAGAATGCGTCGGAATCTGAAGCACGCAGCTCTTGCATTCTGCGCTTCGCGCTGACCAGGTGCCGCGGACAAGAGGCATTTACCAAGCATTCGCTCGACTGGAAGTTGCCCCAGATCAGTTTGCGCAAGCGCGTTCGCTGCAGTACAGTCGTGGTCGCAAGCTTCTGGTGACTCGGCAGCGGCGCGAACGTCAAACCGCGCGCTTCCGAGTGTTTCGAGCCGTAGTAGAGCAGTTGCGCTCGCTGGATAAACACGACGAAGCTGAGATACGAGCTTGCTGTCAGTGTAAGCAACAGCACCTTCGCAGTTACGCAAGCCCTAGCGAAGAGCCGCATTCGGTTTGCCAGGCCTTCGAATATACTTCTCCTTTAATTTCGCATGCGTGCGCTTCGTGCTCAGAACGCCATCTCGTCGTACAGTGTCGCAAAAGCGGGTGTGAGCAGACCGGGCTTGAATCGCGGCGCGGTGGCGCTGCCTGCGAGGACTGCAGCGTTTACGCGACTGCAGTCGAGTTTGAGCGCGAGGTCGCGCGCTAGCGCGTTCTCACGGCGCAGCGAGGCTGCGGAGGTGTTGAGCACGAAGTCATGCGCGAGCTGGCGGGTCGCAAGCAGGTTAAGCGAGGAGCGTAGCGTCGCGCAGAGCGCAAACTCAACGCAATACAGTAAGTTGAGTGCCACTGCTTCGACGCGGAAGTCGAACACGCGAGGCGCAGTCGCGCGGAAGTGTTCTGCGAGCGGCGCGCGCAGCGCGGGAAATGCGTCGACCTGCGAGAACACGAGCGCGAGCGTGGCGAGGTAGTCGACAGAGGCTCTGTAGGAGTAGCTGAGCAACAGCTGCGCAAGCGCGGCGAACTGCGGCGCTGCGAGGCATCGCAGCGCGCTGCAACAGTGATGCAATCCCGCGGCACGCGGCAACGGAAGCAAGTTGCCGAACACGAGGAATTGCGCTGTGTGGAACGCGCCGCGCGTCGCGCGCAGCTGGCGGAAACGGTGCTCGAAATTGGCAGCGCTCAGCGGCTGTTCACAAAAAGCACTTGCCGCAGGCAGCATGCGCGGTGCGGCCGCAACGTTCGCGGCTTCGCCCAACTGCGAATCGGAAGCGGAGAACTGGAGACTTTCCGAGGGCTGCTGGCTGCATGAAGATGCGCACAAACTCAGCTCGCAAAGCGCCGAGTCTTTCGCGAGTGACGGCACGTCCGCGAGAGGCTGGAGCAATTGTTTGGGCGAAACGCAGCCGGCGCTGGCCTCGGCGACGGCCGAGAGCTCGTCGCGCAGGCGCGTCGCGAGCAACGCGAGCGCCGCGCAGCGCGCGGGCGCGTACAACGTTGCATCGAAGCGCGCGAGCACGTCGACGACAAGCAATAAGAACGGCTTGGCTTCGTCGAGTCGCTGCTTGTTGATTGCCTTCCCGCGCAGGTGGCTGCGGTAAAAGTGGTAATAATTGTACGCCTTGCTGACGAGTGCGGCGTGCAGCACGCAGGCCGTGCAAGCGAAACTTAGCATCGCCTGGCTGCTCAACAGTACCAAGTTTTGGTACAGCTGCACGCAGCTTTTGCGACTCGCGGCCGAGAGACCGGCTTGCAGAGCGAGCTGATGCAGCAGGTTTGCCGCTTTGCAGATCAGCAACTTGCGCGCGCTGCCTTTGCAAAAGCGCAGTGGCTGCAACGTGTCCTCAAGTACGGCGAGTACACGGCCCACGCGTTTGTCGCTGGTACCGCTCGCCGCGTGCAGCAGCGCGTAGCATTCTGAGAGCCGCGCGTTCACCGCAGCGCACCACAAGCTCTTGATCTTCAGCTGGCGCTTCGCGCTGCGTGCTTCGCTCGACATTGGACGTCAAGTTTGCAAGACGCGTTTACTCGAGTTCAGCGCGAGGTTTTGTTTCTTTTGGCCGCGTGCGAGCCCGCCTCACATTTGCGCTTTTTCGTCTTCAGTAGCAACGGAAAGTCCGTTCGCGGAACTTCTGAGAGACCGAAGCTGTGGGCAATTTCGGATATATTTAATTTCGAGACGTCGAATATCTCTTTCTGATCGTGGCTCTGATACGCCAAGATGTACTTGCGGAATGCCAGCGCGGCCTGTTGCGTAAGCTCCGGCGTGGCCGCGATCAGTTTCACGATTTGCTGTGCAATTTTGTCCAGCGAGCTTTGCTTGGACTTCAAGTGCGTGAGTTCGTAGCTCAGTTGTTTCAGTTCGTGCACGAAAAGCGTTTCGTTCGGCGCTAAGAAAAGCAAAGCAGTACCGGTCGCGTTCACTCCGCGCGCGGTGCGCCCGATGCGGTGCACGTAGTTTGCGATTTGCTCCGGAGGGTCGTACTGCACAATCAGGTTTACCGCGGGAATGTCTAGTCCGCGCGCTGCTACGTTCGTGCAAAACAAGATGCCGTTGCGCGCTTTGCTGAACGCGTGGAAAATTTCCGTGCGTTTCGCCTGTTTTTTGTCCCCGTGCAGACTGAAGATCGGTAGCAGCTTGCCGAAGAGCCGGAAGAGCATCTCGTGGAATTGCACAGACTGGCACGTGGAAATGAAGATCATGATCTTCATGGAGGACTTCGCCTCGTTTTCGCAAAAGTCTTTGCTCTTTTCCTTCAGAATTTTGAATAGTGTTGCGAGCTTCGCGAATCCCGAGCACACCGTGTAGTACTGCGGCAAGGCCAAACTTCCTTGTTCGGGCTTGACGTCGATGAAGAGCGGGTTGCGCATCGTGCTGAGCGCCAGTTTGCTGATTGACTCGGTGATTGTCGCGGAGAACAGCGCAGTCTGGCGATCCTTGGGCAGCTTGTCCAGAATTTGCTTCAGGTCTTTTTCGAACCCGCAGCTGAATACACGGTCCGCCTCATCGATTACCAAAAACTTCAGCTGCTGGATTTCGAACCCTTTCGAGTGCTCCAAATGGTCCAACAGCCGACCTGGCGTCGCAATGAGCAGCACGACGCCTTTTTTGAGATTGTCGAGTTCGACGCTGCGCTTGTTCCCGCCGATGATGCAGCCAAGTCGAAATGTGAAGTTCTGCGTCAGCAGCTTCGCGACGTCAAATATCTGCAGCGCCAACTCTCTAGTCGGCGCGATGACCAGTGCGACGGTTCCGAAACTGGGCTTCACGCGCAGGTTGTAGAGGAGACTCACGATTGGGACCAGGTACGCGATGGTTTTGCCACTGCCAGTGCGCGCCGCGCCGATGACGTCGCGGCCCTGCAGGAGCGCTGGGATAACTGTCGCCTGGATGTGCGTCATCTTGGCAAAAGCATTCGCCGCGAGGTTGCTCTTCAGCTTCTCGCTCACGCCTTCCAACTCACTGAACGACTGTGAGGTAAGAATCGAATTGCTCATGTCGGTGCGCAGATTTTCGGCCCGGTGAAATAGCAAATTTAATTTGGATCGCGCAGCCAAACGCGCTTCTCTTCCTGTCCGCAGCGCGATCGCTCAGTCATGTGCATCGACTGCGCGTACGAACCTGAAGAGACGCCTGCTGCGAGTACATGAGCGCAGCAGCCAAGACCGTTTCTATTTTCGCGGCCGCGCTGGCTGCGGCGCTCTACGTGCTCGGCCGGCAGAAGGCGCGCGTTACAGGAAACCGAGCCACCTTGCGCCCTCTCGAAGTGTTCTGCGGCGGCGGGTTCACGTTGCTGCTGCCGCTACGGTTTTGGACCCTCTTCACGCAGAGACACATCAAGTTGAGATATGTGTGCCGCAATGACATCCGCCAGCAACTCGAAAACCTGACTCGCGAGCGTGTTCAGCGGAGAAAGCGGGTACATCTGGCGCGCCTCACACGCTGCACGCTGACTCTTTGCTTGCTGGTCATCGGCGGCTGCATCAGGATTGTGTACTCGGTGGGTAGCTCGGTTTCTCGTCTCGTCGGCAGCTGCGTCACTGCGGCTGCACTTGCGCTTTGCTCGCGACGGCTCACCGTGGAGGTGGCTTTTGCGGCTCCAGCGGCTCGCCTGGCGCGACGCTGCGCTCGCGCTTTCGCGTTGTCTGCGCGACGTGCTGTGTGTTGCGCTTTGACTTTCGCGCTGCGTCGCTGGACCGTTCACTTTCAGCATGCTTTCGTGCTCACTCTCGACTGCTGCAGAGAAGGTTCGCGGCTGCGTTTGAACCTCACGCTGCGCTTCGGCGCTGCAGAATTACTGCGTGCGAGCGATGTGCTGGTCGACGTTTTTGCGTTGCGCGTCGACGTTGAAACCGTGGAGCTCAGCTTTCTTCGAGCTCCTGACGTGCTCGAAGACGTGGTTTTCTTTTTGACGAGACTTAGAACGATGTCGCAGTACGTCGCAAATTGTCCTGAAAATGTGAAGCGACGGCTGCTCGCGCGAGTGGCCGCTGAACTCGAAGCAGGCAAGCAGGCGGCGAGTGCAGGTCATTTGGCACTTGACGCGTTCGCCGAGTTTCGGCAGTTGCGGCAGCGCGTGCTGCAGCTCTACGCGCAGCACAGCAGTTGGCCTCAGTTCACGAATGCGGTGGCGGAGGCCTTCGAGTTTCAGCGGTTCGTGTACTGCGATGCCTCTTGCGTCGTGTACAGCGTGCGCCAGCTGTTGCACTATCTGCAATCCGTAGAGAGCAGCGGTATTGCAGCGCTCTCATTGGACTCCGACCCGTTCTTCGGTGGCGTAAAGACTTTGGCCGACGACGAGTTTGTTGACTGCCGGGAGCCTGACGAAGGCGCGAGCGAGCTGCGGAGGTGTGGCGTGCGGGGCTCGATCGCGAACTGCAGAAAATTTGCGCGGGGCGCGCCGCTAGTCACTTTGCATTTCAGTTGCAACGTTGCTGCCGCGGGTGCCGTGAAACTGCAGTTCTCCACTGCGGGTCGCGTCCGCTTATCGCTGTTTGATCTGTTGCACGGCGAGGTGCAGCGACTAGAGTTGCTTTGCGAAGACGCCGAGGGTGACTTCGGTGTATCTGCTACTGCGTTCGACGAGTTGCTCAAAACGTGCGCTCGCTGTTTCTACGTTTTCGACTCGCAAACGCCTGCCGTGTTGTGGCAGTCGCGACTACACGCAGCAGGCCCATCGCTCTGCGTGCGCGCAGAGTTTCGCCGGCTGCGCTTCAGCTTGTGTCGCAGATTGCTCTGCTGCGTGGACAGCGTTGTCGTGGCGCGCGGCTGCTTTGACGACGACGCAGGCCTTGAGCGACCCGCGCCGGAGTACTGCTACTTTTGCAGCTTTTCGGCGCAAGGCTATTCGCTGGAGCGGCGCGAGGGCGACGCTCGAGCGACCGACCAACGCTTCGCCTTGCGCGGCACGAGTTTGTTGAATCTGAAGCACAAATCGGTCACTTTTGAACTAGACCATTTCGAGGCCGCTGTTTCACATGGCGCTCTCCTTGAAGTGCTGCGGCTGTACCAGCTGACGAACGACCGCGAGCTGAACTTTGCGGCGCTTCGCTTGGCGTCGTCGTTTCGCGCACAGCACCTGAACCTGGTTAACTCCGCTGAGCTGCTCATTCGCAAGTGCGCGCTGAAGGTGCTGGCGCTTCCTGTGCCGAGCAGCGTTTCTGCCGCTCCGGCTGCGGGCGCGAGGCTTGTAGACTTGATGGTGTCCGCGCGAGGCGTTTGCGCCTGCGCGGCGTTCGTGCTCTGCGAAAGCTGCTACCTCTCGCAAGCAGTGGACGGCGCAGTTTCGTCCGTGTTCTGGCAGAGCCCGGCGGACGTGAGTCTCTCTAACCTAGTGCGCCACTTCAATGCGGCGCAATTCGACACGTTGCCCGATTGTTCGCTCGCGCGCCTGCGGCTGCGCTCAGGTTGCAGCGTGTGTTTTCTTCCAAAAACGCTCGCGCTGATTGTCGCGAAGAAGGCCGTGCTCAATTGGAAGTGCGAGGTGCTCGCCTCGGTGCTCCACCCGTGCTTGGAGCTTGCGTCGGTTGACGGTGCGCTGCGCGCGGTGCTCGAAGACATGGCCAACTGCTGCAGGGCGCGGCGCGACACGCATGGCGGTCTGTTGAGTACGCTGGTCGCCGTCAAGTCCTCCTACACCCGTCCGAAGGTGTTCGACAAGATAACGCTCGATATGTTGCGGCTCTCGTTTTCAATCGAGTGCATCGACGGCATCATCATAGTCTCTTCAACTGCACGACAGCTGCTGATCATTGAGGAGGTGAAAATTTTGGGCCGCTTTCACCACTATGCACAGGGCTACAAACTGCAGCTGCGCAACCTGCAGAGCTATTTGTTCCACGACGCCGCGCCGCTCTCCGTCTTCTCTGGTCGCTTCTGCACGCGCCAGGTTCATCCCGTGTTGCGCAACCTTGCGTCGCTCTCGCTGGCGTTCGCGAACTGCGAACGGAACACGCGTCTCGTCGACCAGTGCCTGCGCATCGACGGAGACTTTAAACGCGGCAGACACTTGTTCGGGGACGTGCGCGGCGTGGAGCTCGTCGCCCCACCCGTCGAAGCGCTGTACTGCTGGGACTTTATTTGCGGAGACGTGCTCGGGGTGCTTGCTGCTTCACCGTTCAAGATGTGCCTGCGACCCGATCAGCTTTCGCTGCCCGTGCGTCGGCACGTGGCATCCACGCTGGTTGCCGCGTTTTTCGCGCTGCATAAACGGCTGACAGTGCGCGCGGAGCACCTGCAGGACTTCTACAATAGTCTACTGGTTTTCGCCGACCCGCACCTCGACATTGCTGAGTGCTGCCGCGATGACTTCTGCCAAGCGTACTTTCTGACGCTGCTACGGCTCGCCGGCTCATTTGATCTGCAGCTGTTCGATAAAATGGTGAGTAAGTCGCATCTGCTCACGAAAAACTACATCAGAATGCGCATGCACCGCATCGCGGTCGAGTTACGCGTTCTGCAGATCGACGTTGAAGCCGTCGAGGTCTGCACGGCGGACATCGACGGCGAAACTTCGCTGCGCAGCCAGCAAGACCTCTATGACCGGTTCGTCGCGCCGTACCTGCGCAAGAATTTGCTGCGATCGCAGTCGCTGTTGACCAGACGGCGGCACGTGCGCAGAACTTTTTTGAATTCGCTGTTCTGTTTTGCGCTGGAGGTGTACACGATGAAAGTTGAGCGTATTGCGCTCACTCTTGCGCCCGCGTTTGCCAGCGGTTGCTGCGCTGTTGCTGGCAGCGCGACGCGCCCCGAAGGCACGCTCAGCGCGTCGGCTTCCTTCTACCGGCCTGCGACACAGGGCAGAGCTGCATTTGTGCACCCCAACTGCTTCCACTTCTCGCTGCATTCAGACAGCACCGCGAATGGCGTGACGCCGCTGCAGTTGGACTCTTCTCTCGTGGTTGCGCTAGCGCTGTTTGCCGCAAGTGTCCACCGCGCCTGGTTCTGGCGAGACGCCGATTTGGCTGCGCTGCGCCGCTCCGCGCCGAAGCCTTCTGCTGCACTTAGCACCGCGGGCGAGCGATCGGGCGGCGGCCGGAAGATCGCCGCTGCGGACTTCAAGCACTTGCTGTTATTCCAAATTTCTGAACTGTCTGTCGACCTCGAGAGTCAACTTGCCGTCTGCGTGCAAAGAGCCAGAGCTACGGTGCAAATTTTTGAGACGCCGGCGAAGACCACGGTTCGCGCGTTCCTTGCTGCGTTCTCGGTGACGCAGCCTCGGCGGCTGCGCAGCGAAGCAAATCTGCTTCGTGTTTCGAACGTCTGCCTCCAGGCTACCCGGACCAGAGCGTCTGCGCGATTTGCGAGAACGGGCAGCTCGAAAAACGCTGAGAATCTCGAGACGGAGCGGATTGCAGTCAAATTGCTACTCAAAGCTTTCTTGCTAAACTTGCAAAACGCCGAGGCGCTGGCGCAGTTCTCTGCTTACTGGGCGCAGCAGGCGCTGCCCATCGTCGCCGAGGTACGCGCGTCGACCGACGCAGCGTTGCACACAGCGGAGCCACAGTCAGCGGAGCCGCAGCTGTTTAAAGTCTCGCGGTCAATTGAGTGCTCTGCAAGGCTCGCCGGTTTTGGTCTGCAATGCTTCGGTCACTCGGTTTTGCTGCGCAGTGCGCAGCTCAATGCTAGGTGCTGCGGGCGCGAAGATTCGGTAGTGGCTGCACTGAAGGTAGCGCACCTAACAACTGAGTCGCTCGCCGTGGTCGACATTGCGGCCAAATTCCAGCAACGCAGCTGCGTCGTCTCCCTGCCGAGAGTATTTTTTTGCGTCGAGCAGTGGCGAGCTTTGCACGCGATCGGCAATACTGTTGCGACAATTTTCCGCGACTGCTCCTCCGCAGCCGTTTCGGCGACGCGCGATTTGCGTAAAGGCGACCGGCTGCCGTGCAGCGCAGCGAGCACGGTCGACGCGACGCAAAAGTCTGCGCGCTCTGACGCTCCGCCCGCGTGGCGCGACATAGTATTGACTTGCGAGCTTGGTGTGTCCCTCGGCAGATCG